TAGAACGCCCCGTCATCGGTTTCCAAGACGGTGACTTTTAGAGGAGGAGAACGCCTCTGCTGTTTGTCTTGGAGCAACTGGTGGTTTCGAACTGCTGACCTTGAGGTTAGCAGCCTAATGTAACCACTATGCCAACACCAAGTGTGCTCGATAGGTAAAAGCAACAAAGCCAATGATAGGCTTGGTTCTCATCCTGACGGTAGCCAGCCCCAGGTCTTCCTTTCCCAGTGCCCCCAGGTGAGTCTATACCACCAACCTGGAAGTTAGCAGCCCACTGAGACCACCACCCTGGGGCCTAAAATACTGTGTGTGGGGACACTGTCCGACTGAAACCATCGCCTTGCACATACGATAGGGCCTTCACAGATCGCCTGAAACCATGTTTATGACAATGGGCTGGCTTTAAACCGATGTGTATGTACACAGCCTTAGGCCCCTTTGTCTCTAGAGTAGACACCATGCCTGGGCCATGATTGGTGTACAGTGAACCCTCGCCACTTCGCGCTTTGACTTCCGTGGCTTCACTCTATCGCGGTTTTTGCGTAACAGCGCATGCTCTGTCATTACTGCCACTGATTGGCTCATACTGTACACACTTCATGCCATAAATAATATAATAAGTAATAAATGATCATTGTAATGTCCAAAATGTTTTACTGTATTTTCCCTTTTTCGTTTAATAAATTGGGTAATACGAGTGTAATGGTGACTAAAGGGTGTTTTTTCATGTCCTCTATGCTCTAGCTACGAAAATATTTGATTTACAAATAAGGAATCCTACTTCGCGGAATTTCATTTATCACAGTAGGGTCAAGAACCGATTAACTGCGATAAACGAGGGTTCACTGTACAGGACTTTACTGTGGCCAGGGCAGATTTTGCCTTGAACCCGCAGGTGGCGTGGTTGGTAGAACACTTCTTGGAGCATTCCTTTCTCAAACACACCAGATTTGGAAGCCAGGTTTTTGAGTCTTGTTTGTTTGTTTGTTTGTTTTCCCTTTTCATCGTGGGCAGCCTTGGAAGATGTCTCAGCATCCTCTGGTCACAGCGAGGGATTGGCCACCAGTAGGTTTAGGTGACCAAAAACCTTGATAGGGAGAGAGATGGGAACTTACGTCTACAAGACGCCTTCTGTTGGCTGTTTAAAAAAAAAAATCTTCTCTCCAAGATGATGTCATTATATTTGAGGTCAATTATTATAGGTCAACTTTGTGGAGCCCTGGTGGTCTGTTTAATACGTTGTTGAGCTGCAATCCTCAGGGCCAGCAGTTCGAAACCACCAGCAGCTCCACGGGAGAAAGATTGGGCTTTCTACCCCCGTAAACAGTTACAGTCTGGGAGACCCACATGGGGTCGCTATGAGTCAGCAGTGACTCCGTGGCGGTGAGTATCGTAGCCTACCAAAGAAGCCCTGGAAGTGTAGTAGTAATGTGTGGGGGTCAGCTGTTCGAAACCACTAGTCCCTCTGCGGGAGAAAGATGAGGCTTTCTACTCCCATAAAGTGTTACCATCTCAGAAACTCACAGGGACCATCCCACCTCGTCCTGGAGCGTTTCTATGAGTTGGAAATCACTTGATGACAGCAAGTTTGGTTTTTGAACCATTTTTATTGTCGCCAGCTCCGTGTGAAGGTAGAATAATCATGTGGCTTTTTCCTGAATGCTTTTGCCTAAAGTTTTCAGAGTCGAATCCTTTCAGGGACATATCTTCAGCTCTCACCTCTTCTTGGTTGGCTTTGTCTTTTCAATACAGAAACTCCCAGACATTTAAACTTATAATTAGCTCTTGATGGTTCTCTTTGGTTCTTTAGAATAGTTCAATGAGCCGGGGGCTGGGGGAAAGTTGTTCAACGGCCCCTGGAAAGATGTTGGCCTTTCAGACATTGGGGTTCTTAATGAAAATAGCTGATTGTGTAGTGTTGACTCAGCCAAAGGTTTTATTTTACACTGCCTGGTACCCTCTTCATCTGCATTATCCGAGGCTTTGTGGGATTTTTGTGAAGCTTGTATAGCAGAGTAAAGGACACAGGAATTGTACAGCGTGGTTAGTGTGCGTTTCGAGTAATGACATCACTGGTCTTCCCTCACCAGGTGAGTAAACTTTGACTCAAGGAGGGAGGCTGGTTATGGCAGGTGGAGCAGAGATCTGTGGGAATGCACTGACAGAGGACGTGGGAAGGTGGTAAGGAATTTGGGGGACATGACTTCATCCCACACTTGGAAGATTAGAAAATCCTTAGAATGTTAAGCTTGTTAACGTAACAGAGTTAATTCCTGCTCTGTGCTGAATTTGCACACAACAAGGAATAGCTTATTCATTGCTTGGATGGGATCCAGTAATTTTTTAATTTATAAGACATCTTTCATTACAGTTATTCCCAGTGTTGTGCATTTAATAGTTGGCAGAAGAGCCACAAAACCACAGTCAGAATCAGTTTTCACTTGCCTTGCGGGAGTTCAGATGTTCGATAGTGGTCTTGTTGCAAAATTTTTATTCGGTCCACTCCGAAGAAAGAGTGTGTGGCTGTAGATGAATTGCATCATTCTTACACCCCGCCG